ATTATTATAATAATATAATACAAATTATATTATTATAATAGATAATTAATTTATATCAGTGTAAAACCGGCATTTTTTGTCGTGATTAATTTGTATTCATGCCTGTCCCAGGTCAAAATGCAAAATGGATTAATATTCATTAGGAGTATACAACAATGTACCTGCATGTACAGTGTTGTCGCAGAAATAAATACTAAAATAGTTGTGGTATATTTTGCGTTTTTGACTCACTGTACTTATAATAGGCCATATTCGTATTCTCAGTACAGTCGAACCTCAATTATCCGGACTCGTTGGGACTAGACGAAATAGTCCGGATAATTGAGGGTCCAGATAATCAAAAATATGAATATTAATGAAGAACAAAACTATTTAAATAAAGCAACATTTAATTGTGAAACAACACTTTTACAAATCGTTTGGAAAACAATATGGTCTACCGTATATCTTGAACCACTCAACTCTGAGCCAATCAGAACTCATTCAAGTGTTCTTCATTAGTTACAACATGTGCGAGTGCTCAGCTTTTGCTCTTTAAAAGGAAAACAAACTCGCTTTTGACTGCACTTTTCAGTGCTATAGTTTTAAAAAGAATAGTGCTACGGATCTTGATCATGACTAATAAATATTCATTACAAAATTGGGACTAGAGAAAAAGTTTGGATAGTCAAGAAATCCGGATAATCGAGGTACAGATAATCGAAGTTCGACTGTATTGGACTGTGACAAGCTTGCAATGAAGGCTCATGTGGTGGACTATCATTAAAAAGGGATTAATGTCATTTGCATTTGAAAAGACTCCCGACATTAGCCTCCTTTGCAAGCCACAGTGCATGTAATTCCAGTTCAAAACCGAGAACAAAAAAATGGTCTATTGCAGCACAAGGTACTGCACTACTTGAACATGTACATGAAAACTGATCAGTCTTGTTTATCTTAGCAAGGAGAGGGAGTGCCTTCCTCAAGGAAAGGGGTCTGCGCTAACCATGTCAGAGATGTTGAAAAGTTTTTCAGGGTAAGTTGTTCCCTTGTAGTAATGTTATGTACAATAACTTACTTTATTATGCAAAGTAAGTTATTTTAAAGAGCCATTCTTCAGCTTGCTCTCCTTTTTGGGGGCATTCTGATTATACGTTAGAACTTTGCATAACAAGGTTAAGTGAAAGACAAGTCTACCATTTGTTCATTTTGAAAAGCCATTCAGTCCACAGTTACTCCTACCCAACAAAAATTCAAAAGTTTAAGGGAGAAAATGTATTCGGTCTCGTCTGATGAATTGATGTTATTTTTCTTTTCATTTTTGTTGTATTTAATACTTTTTTTTCATTTTGGTAGGGAGCCCATGTAACCATCAATGCAAGATCTTCAGATGATGTTGAAGAAAGTATTGTACTTGACAAAGTTAAAAAGGCTTCAGGTATAACACACTGTACATGTAATAAGGAAATACTGGCTTGAACAATGTGTACTACGTGTCAGCATTTGACAATATCATCTCTCCATTCAGGTGCAAACTACAGTTTCCACAAAGAGAAGGCAAAACCTGCAGAACCCATTGCCCCAGTGGTAAGTGCATGTGCAAGCTAACTACATTTCAACCAGGTATTTCTTCTCACCCAGGCACTTCTTTTACGTAGAAAAGCATGTTCCATGTTTTTTCTCTATCAACTCGCATGTCTTTGAAATGAAGCTCCTGGTAAAATTTTACAAATGAATTTAGTGTCTCTTGTTTTTTTTCATCAGGGTTCTGTATATCAGAAAGTGAAGATTCAAAAGGAAATTGACGTTCAGCAACGAGATCAGTTCTGGTCCCAGTCTGAGGTAAAGTTTCAACAGACTTTTTATACAGATTACATGTTTGTCTAATGTGTAGTTCCAGAACCTCCCCCACGGAAGGGATTTTTTTGTAAGACCCCCCACCCCTCTGGAAATTCCAATTAGGTTTCATACATTTCTTTAAATTTTTTGGTCTTGCAGAACCCACTACCTCCCAGGAAATTCCCATCCCTTCTGTGGGGGGAGTATGGATATCTTCTGGAACTGCATAATGGTCCACAGTGCATATTAAATGTTGTTTTTGTTTAGATTTGGCTTGATTTTGAAATTTATTTTGTAAACCAGTTTCTGTTGATTGTGTGAAGGTACTGTATTGATGATGTCCAAATTTGTTAATATGCACGTTATGTGGTCTTGTCGTTGAACATGCACACATATATCTTGTTAAAGATACACTTTTTCTTTTATATATGTTTATATTTATATTTACTTGGATATTTTCAATGGTGTTATTATATTTTTTAATGTTAAATGTAATTAGTGTAGTTAGTCATTGTTCCTGCTAGAAAAGTTTCATTGAGTAGGCAACAATAAAGTATACACATGTACTAGACGTATGTATTTCCATGAAACAAATTAACATTGACCATGAAGTCAAGTTACTACATGCACAAACATGTACATGTACATGTAGTTAGTCAAATGAAAATATTTACAGTGTCCCAAACATTTTATTCAACAGGAAAACGAGAAGAGAAGAAAAGAGCAAGAACGAAAACAA